TTTAATGCTTTATTGGTCAACTATGTCAGTTGATTAATCATTCAGACCAAGATCAAGAGTCTCTGTTTCCTATTTGTCTGATTTTTTTTTTTTTTAAACCATGTTTAATTGGAAATTAAAATTATATGATGATGTTTGGAGCTAGAGCCTTATATGTTTAGACCTTTCAGCTGAAAATGCTCTTAACTATTGAGTTTAGATTCTATACTGTAAGTCACATTTGATGATTTATTTTTGTTTGTTTGTTTGTTTTTTTTCTCCACTCCCAGAATGACCAGGTCCTCCAGGGTTTCTCTGTTGACAAGGGCGAGTTTACATGCCCGCTGTGTCGACAGTTTGCCAATAGTGTCCTCCCCTGTCGCCCTGGGAGGGGCACCGAAGCCGGTACCTGGCACACACCCACAAACAAGAAGACGTCTGTGCTCGTAAAGGAGGTGGAAGAACTTCAGGAGAAACCTGGCCTGTTCCCAGTAAGTTTGATGATTAAACCAGACGGCATGTCTTAAAATCTATACTCTGCATTTAGCTAGTGGCCACATTGGCAGTGATATTAATGACTGAAAACAGTACTTTAGATTGTAGCGTTGATGGAGATTGAAACAGGGCGGTTCTTTTTCATAGACTGTTCTCTCCTTTTTTTTGCTAAAGCTAGATTGATGCCATTTTAACTCTAAAAATTTCTCAAATGCCAGTGTTTTATTGTCTTTTTCAACTTTTTGTTTGCACGTGACCTGTGCACCAGACATTTTCAGCTTTCAGATTACCACAAATAGACTTGAAATATCTGCCCAATTTGTTATTACCAAAAAAATAAATAATTAAATACAAGCAAATGGACATTTTCTTTGAATCTTTGCAATGCATTTGTCCCATTTATCATGTAGTTTCACTAGTCCAGCCCACTTGAGATCAAAGTGGGCTGTATGTGGCCCATGATGCAAAATGAGTTTGTAACCACTGCTTTAGGTTAATCGGTACTTTGACTTATTGTTGTTTTTGGTCTTAATCTCCAGACGGAGTCTAATTTGAGTAAAGAGATGGAGTTAGTAATCAAAGACATCAAGAACACCACCCAGAAGAAGTACATGGACTATGGCAGGAACCCTGGCTCCCCTGACAATGATTTCCTCTTCATGTATTCAGTGGCAAGGTAAGAACCAAGTTATAGTGGGATTTAAAATTTAACACTACTTATTTTCCAGGATTTTAACATTAATAACTCCTCTGTGACTGTGCATTGGAAAAACCTCCATTTTTGGAAACGTTCAGAGCAAAAATACAGGGAAAGGTCAAATGTGATTAATAAATTCAGAAATTAGGGGAAATAGGGGCTTGGAGCTGTGGAAGGGATAAGATGATAATCTGTTAAACTAGTTGCTTTTTTGTGGAAAATGATACAGCCCACTTTCATTCAGATCAGAAGCATTGGCTTAACTTCTGTTGTTTGTGAACTAGTAGTCTCTTTAACCTGCTTTCCAGTCTTAAAGGATGCTGCATGAGAGTATTCAGTTTACAAGTGACTGTGATTGTGTCTTGTTACATTTTTGTTCTGTGTGACATTAATAAAAAGAATTCTTCTGAACCCATTTGTCTACATCAAACAGACCTTTTACCTTATGGCAGATTGCACTTGAGTATAAGGAGCTTTGTTAGAACTCAGCCCTTCAATTGCTGAGCAGTTTTTCGCTGTATAGAGGAATACTTGCCACCCTGAATACTTTTTTTTTATAAAGGTGTATATGGTGTCCTTCTAGTCTTTATGGATTCTTTTTGATTCACTGCATTCCTTCATGGAGCTCCTCTTTCTCCACAAACTCACACAGTTTTACACACTTGAACACACCGCTGACTGTTGGCTGCAGCGCTTTAGATACCTTTCTGCTCTTTCTTTTGTCGGTTCATGTCAGATCTTCAACTTGAATAGCAATGATCCTTCATGCAAACAGGCAGTAGAATCCTCTCTTTAGTGTGAACAAAGTCTTCTCTAGTTTTTTACTCCTGAAAGGCTTCTGAATAACTGATACTGAAATTCAGTACTGGAGTTTATAAGTTGTACAGCAAAAAATTTGAACCGAAATGCATAGTTACTTGAGTTGTTTCTCTTTGTGCTTCTCATTGTTGGTCTTAAAAGTGTTTTCCAAACCAGTATAAGCAGCTTTGTCACGATAGTCTGCAGTAAAATAATACTCACTCTTACTCCCTTCCTACTGATTATGTCTGATTGAGAATACAGTGATTACACACTCTGAATGCATCTTTCAGGTGTTTCTTCTCACCAAGTTATGGCAAGCTCGCCAAATCACAGTCTCTTTTCTGCTTGTCTTGGGATTAACTAGCAGTGTGCAGTATTAATTGCATCAATCATTAGCCACAAAATATACTGGAATGGCTGAAAAGTCAAAATTACACAGTCCTTTCTCTGGGTTTTTTGTATGTTCTCAGCAGACTGGTCACAGGTAAGAGAAATGACTGCCCTCCAGTTCACCTTGGGGTCTCTGACTCCACCCCACTCCCATTCCAAAAACTTTGCCCTTTTTGAAGCGTAACCACCGAGGCCTTTTGCCCACCCAATGCTGTGGTTCCCTCAGCCCTCCGCCCTGAACAGAATGATCCCTTGAGTGTGTCTGGGTGCCTGTTGGCTCTCTGAAGTTCAATGAACAGCGCAAATTGCCTGAGGAGTGGAAAATTCCTCTGTCACAGGGGTGCTCTTATCAGCAAAAGCCAGATGGAGCTTCACCGTGGCTGCATTATCTAAGTGAAATTGCTTTTTCTCCCAGGAAACCCGAGGATTTGCCCCCCTCCTCATTGGCCCACAGGAAGAAATGGCCAGTGATAGGCTGAAAACAGGCTCAGATCAGTCTTATTTTAGCGATGCCTATCTGTTTTTACCATCAATGTACTTTTTACCTATTTTTTTTTTCAGTGTTTTAGTTCTCTGTGTGAAATAGCATGAATTAAAATTCAGAAGGAAAAATGTGTCGATATGCATGAGAAATCCGTATTGGGGATTATGCACGAACTGTATTCGGAAAGGCTTTTATGCTAATGGTTTAGCTTGTGCAAAATCAGTCTTGGAAAACTGTCACTTATTTGATATGGAATTGCTGCTGCAAAACAGACGCATTAAATAGCGTGACTAGGCAGCATCCTTCATCTTCCTAATCAAATTGGTAAAAGAGCCAGGGCATGTAACCAAAAGCTGAATATGTTGATCCTCAGCCATTTATGCCAATATACACACACACACACACACACACACA